TTAAAAAAAATGAGATACTTGCGGGCGCCTGGGTGGCTCAGTTGGTTAAGCAACTGCCTTCGGCTCAGGTCATGATCCTGGAGTCCCTGATCAAGTCCCACATCGGGCTCCCTGCTCTGCAGGGAGTCTGCATCTCCCTCTGACCCTCCCCCCTCTCATGTGCTCTCTCTCAAATAAATAAATAAAATCTTTAAAAAAAAAAAATGAGATACTTGTAAAAGAAGAGACAGATGAAGCAATGAAAGAGAACAGAAAACAAAAGAGCATAAATTCTTTTTTTTTTTTTTTTAAGATTTTATTTATTTGAGACAGAGTGAGAGAGAGCCCAAGCTGGGGGAGGGAGAGGGAGAATAATAAAAGGTAGGAGAAAGGCATAAACAATGGACAAGGAAAGATTGCTCGATGAAGGGTATAAAGATAGGTGATTAGCAATTTGAGAGTCTCACATCCTAACACACACTCCTATATAAACGTTGCTACTCAAAACCCTGCAAAAACAGGGCTGGGCCTCTGGCTACTTTACCGAATTTACCCCTCTCCCCCGACTTGCCCTGCCCTAGGCACCCTGACAGCTTTCTTCTTTAAATATGCCAAGTGCTCTCCCACCCCAGAGCATTTATACTTGCTTGCCCTTGGTTTTCAATGCTCTTCTGCCAGGTATCCTCAGTCCTCACTCCTTAACTCAGCTCTGTGCTCACAGAGGCCCTCCCTTACATGCTTTCCAAAACAACGGCGCCCCCACCCCCCACGTCATCACTCTCTATCCCCTTCGTCTTGTTTTATTTTTCTGCACCTCACTGCCTGACATTATATGTGTATTTACATTTTGTCTATCTCCTCCCAGTAGGACATAAGCTCTGAAAGTGTGGGGACTGTCAGGTTTTGTTGGCTGTTGGATCCCCAGCACCTACAATAGTTCTTGGCACACAGTAGAGGCTCAGCATTTGCTTAATGAATGAATGTGATTACAGATAAGCTAGGAGATAACAATCAAATATTTACCAAATCTTGACTTAAGTCTAGAAGTGTTCAAAGAAATCAAAGACAAGGATCAACAAATTTGAATAAAAATGTAATGTAAAAATTAGAAAGTTTTTTAAAAAAAACTGGGGAAATTTAGTAGTAGAAAAACAGATAATCATTGTCCATATCATTGGAGTTTTGGGTGGTAAATTATATCCATGTGAAATACTATCCAGAAGGTGAGCCAAGAAAACTATGCTTCTGGAGACAATATGGAAAAATTGTTGATACTTGATAAAAAGTACGAGTTTAATATGTCAGCTCTATTTACAAGCCATAAAACAGAAGGAGTAGACACTTTGAGGCATTTGCCAACCCTCACTCTTTCACCAGTGTCTGAGCACTGCTCTTTCCACACCCCCTGGGGGAGACGTAGCAGCCATGGTTGCACCATAAGGCCCTGCCCCAGAGTTCCAGCTATCTGTATCAGAGGCAGGCCCCAAACACAGTGGGTGCCATTGGATTATCTCCCACTGAAATTTAAAACTGAGGTTAGGAAATCCTGGTCTACCGAATGGAGTTCAGGGCAGTCATCTTCCAGCATGTATAATGGAAAACTGATCTGCTAAGAGAAAGAAATGAGAGATCAAGCATTGAGAGAAGGATACACATACAATGAGTGGTAGCCTTCTTGATTCCTAACAGCTCCTGGTTCCTGATTCTATCCCTTCTGATGCCTACTTTGTAATACCATGAAATAACTATGTATTCTGATATTAGTAATATATGACCTTCCTTTTGCCTATACTCTTGAGTTAGTATTTATTATTTTAAACTTAAAAAAAAAAATTTGGGG